TTGCTCGAGGGAAGGAGCCAACTAATAAATTAGTTAGATGAGTGTCATTTCCAGTAGTAATCAATTTATCATTCAATAAATTCCCAAGCTCGAGTCGTCCTCCGTTCTTCTTTCTCCTTGAATAGATTTGTCATTCCTCATCCGAAGGTTGGCTCACCTGATTAGTGGAATGGTCTAAAGTGTGCTGGATATGTTTAAGTTGTTGAACATTAGAGGCAGCTACTTGTTGTACCAGCTGATCTTTTATTAGATCGAAGGAGCACTTTCGTGTGTCTTCTTTAATAACAGTGTGTGGTATGAACACATTTGGATCTGTACCTATAGTATGGTGTTCTTCATCTGGAACTGTGGTGTTGGAAAAATGATCGAATTGCACATTCTCAGCAAGAATTGTAGAGGACTGATCTTTAGCAATATTTGACTTTAGATGATGATGCAAACGATAACAAATAGTGGAACTGTAGCCGAACATACTTCAATGAGACCAATAAGTAGGGTGTGGTTTAATTCAACTTTTTGCCAATACCCGTTGTGAGTGATGCCAATCTATCTCATCTGTAGCTGATTGAGTGATATCTCTCTCAACTGACACACAAGCTACAAATGGTCTGGTTACAGCAAACGAAAGACTATCAACCTTGTGAGGTTTACTGTAAGCAGTTGCTAAAGTAGAAAATTTTCATGTTCAAAAGATGTAATTTTAACCCTGGAAATTTTATCCAAACACAAATGATAGGGGACTCTGCTTTTGGATCAAAATCGACAGTTAACTTCAGAATTTTCATAAAACGATTGTCGATCTTGATAAATTTTCAAGAGAAAATGCGAGTGTAGTCAGTATCGTGAGATAACTGAATAAGTATATGTCAACTGTCAAGTAAGCAAATATTTCAACTGCCCAATAGCTTCATAGCATCAAACTCTTTCCGAATGATCTCCAGCTTTAGGTGACTATAAAGAAAATTTTTCACTAGAGCAAAACGCCAAGAGGACGCGAGAGTGCTTGTTTCAACCTCAGCGAGAATAAGAGCAGACTTCTTATTTTTTTTGCCAAGCTTTTTAATGAAAGTGTGAACATCAGCATCTTCAAGAGCATCGTAAAAAGATTGTGGAACATTGCAGGACTTACCGATACCAAAACCAGACTATAAACCTGAAGAGGGGCACAAGTAGGAATAAGAAAGTCGCTGACAAGGGCAGTTGCATAGGAACGGAGCGTCGAGGCCATCTTCCCCACAAGATGGCCACGGTCAGAAAAGAGCGGCTTTGGGGGCCGCACGG